TCTCTATGGATATCAATAACATTATTATAAACAACAATTTATGTCAATTTTGTGTTTGAAAAAAGCTTGTATTTCAGTATAGTTTTTAATGTTATTTGGTTATATCATTGATTATAAATACTATTTATTGATTGTAATCAATATTTATTTCAATATGAATCATTATATTATAACTATCGATTGAACGGGTTCGCTCGATTTTTATAGAGTTGTTACAATCATTCAAACAATGTATTTCATCGTTATTTGTTACCATTTGTAAATTGTAATACAATAAATCGGTGATTATAAACTGTGCTCAATTCACAGGTAAAACCAAAATTGTACTTGTAAATTGCTCTTGAGTTTTTATCAAGTGGGAGTAGGTGATAAGTAAACTGCATCTGGGTAAAATTTTAGAGTAAAAAGTTTGGAAATAATAACAAATACATCGTTTAAGTAGTAACTAAATCAGGATGAATACTTCAATAAAAACCAATTGACTTTACTACGGTATTTATTAATATTATACATAATATTATATTATTATATAATCAGTAGGCGAAAACTAGCATATTTGTTATGCGCATAGGTGAAATGCATATTGATATAATATTATACACTACGACAAATAAATAATTTAAAATTATAAGTTATTCATTTTGCCTTTAAACAAGGGGAATATTTGAACTGAAAAAATATAAAATCGGACGAACATCGCCGACATTTCAATATAAACCCCGTTGTTCCTACATAATATACTGCAGTGGATGCCTACAGACGTTTCTTGAAGCATAAAATATTTATCATCGAGTGGACGTAACGCTTTTATCTAAATAAAAGGTTCGGCACAAAAAGAATACATGATGAAGAAATAAAAATGTAAATGAACGCTCGTCAAACGTATGTGTCCATTCAATAAAATTAATATCTTACGTGCTATTGCAATAATTGCAGATCTCGGTTACGGAAACGGACAAAGAATACGAATATGCTTAGTAGTTACGCAATTTCGCACTATTTATAGTGTAAGTCGAAAATTATTATCATTATAGATATTGCTATTTAAAAATGCAAAATGTTGTGATGATTCAATGAAAAAAATAAAATCTAAAATTTTACAAATTATACATTTCTGTAATCCGTTAGTTTGTGTGTATACGTGGATATAAAACCGTTCGTTACATAATTCGACATAGAACGAAATAAATTTTCAATGTTACAAAAGTATGAGACATACATCATATTATAAATCATTATTTGCCAACTGACAATAATTCAAAATTTCAGTTTGTTAATCAATTCGAAATTAAAATATTATTTATAATTGCTGTAACCTTTTATTTAACATAAAATATGAATACATAATTGATATAGGCACCTCGTTATAATGGTGTCAATAACATCCTAAGTATAGATATTTGAAATAAAAAATTTAATACGGTTTTATTACATTTTATAATACTAACTTATCAACAGTAAAGTATATTATAAGAAAGTATACAATGATTCTGTAAAGACATTTTTTATTTGAAAATATATAATATACATGAAATATATGTATATAATACTTTTCAAAATGTTATAATATTTATATGCTCAAAGGATATAACGTAAGGACATAATAATACATAAATTATGTACACAAAAATAAAAAATTAAATAAATACAAATAAACGTACACATTCCTTTCGCCCGAGTGAGAATAGTAACGGCAAGACTGTCTGGAGCTGCTACTGAAACTCACAATAAATTATTGTTGACTATAATCGCTTGATTATAATTAACTAGTCGTAGAAACCTTTTTAGAACATCACGGTTAAATACTTTCAAATTCAGATAGATATATTGTTCATAGATTATGTGTCAAAACGATTTATCCGACATTGAATATTACTAATATAAAATTTAAACGAATGAATCAATTTTTTAAATTAATAGGAACTTGATTTTTAAACTCTTGTCGTACCTTTTGTAGCACTATGTCTTTTTTTCGTACATTACGTTTTGTATCGATAATTCGTTCAATATTATTTTAAAATACTTTATTTATATAAATACATGTTGAATAATAATCAACGAATACGATTTTTTTTTTTTTTTTTTTGGAGCTTATATTACGTGTATTATAGTACCGCAATACTGTATTTTCTTTTAGTTCGTGTATGGTAATTTATATTGTAATAATATTTGAATACCATTATTACTTACTGCTGTAGTGATTCTACTAAGTAAACAGCTGTTCCATAGACAATACCTTAAAACATTTCTGTAGCAGTTAAAAGAATATCTTTATTGTTTTCGGATGGGTATACCAGACGTATACGAAACAAATGCAATGAAGAGAAACCATTATGATGACGTAGCAAATAACGTTGGTACCTAATTAATGTCCAGGACGGTTGCACACATTAAACGGTATCTGGTTCACTATTATGCTATTGTAACTGATATTTTTATTTTGTACATTTGAGCATATGATAGTCTCAACTTTGAGATTATTATTGTAGTATCGAAGAATCGCTATGGCTCCGGCGATAACTAATCGAGAAATCGCTGTATAGATTTCCGACACTACCACCATAATAATAAAAAGTCCTAAGCACCTAACGATAATAATAATAACGCGTAACAGTGTCCAAAAATAATTTATATCCAAGAGTATTAGAATTTCATTTGAATGTTTTAATTAATATCTGACTTGATGTAGCGGTTGATGTTCAATATTATTTTAACGATTTATTAACGCAGTATAAGCATACCACATATGTTGAATGGGATGCTTTTAAAATAATAAACTAATGTTTTTAAAAATAACATACAACATTCGTATTTTATATTTAATATAAAACACCATATACATATTTTAATATTGGTTACATTTTCGCGACCAATTTAGATATTTTTGATTGAAACTTTTCTTCGTCATGACTCTTATTCATTTAAATTGCTTTAAATGTATTTATTTCGGTTGAGTACTTAAATAAATGCTATGTTTAAAAATAAGTACAGAAATTGCATTAATTAATTATTTGATTTCATAGTAAGTTGAAAGATATTTTCAAATAAGAGCTCGATACGTTATGATAAAAATTAAATTATTGTATTATGAAATAAAAATACATTTATAAATAATTGAAGGTCTGCGAGGAAAAATGATAATAATCAATATTGTTTATTATTGCAGTTTCAGAAGTTTCAAGTTTCAGAACTCAAAAAACTAAGAGATAAAGTACAAAATAACTCAAAAAAATGTATTATGGAAATACAACTAATTCTTGAAAAGATAAATAAAAAAAAAATTAAATTAACTTTTTAAAACAAATGACAAGATAGTCATCAGTTTTTTTTTTCTTTTTTAGACTATTAACATTTTTCCCCGAAGCCCATCAAATTTAAAATGTATAAATAATGCACTGTACTGTACTGACTTTCTCTAAGATATGAAACAATTTTAAAATAAATTGAAGTGTGTGTTAAATGAATTATTTTGTTAAAAATAACGGGTTTCATTAATTTAATAATACTGTATTTTCATAAGTTTTTATAGTAAGAAATCGATATTTAGTACCAGCAACAGCCGGTACCAATGTATCTAATACCTGTCTAAATTAAATTACATAATATTTCATGTCTTCGCGGTACTAATCAATTTTTTAATACACAATAATACGACGTATTTATCATTATTTTATTCATGAATATTCATTATACATTTAAAGTGTTTAAATATTTTATGTTTATTTTACTATTAATAACAGTTAAAAAAATTTATCTATTACTTAAGAGTAAATTTTTAGCATGAAATTATCATTAATTTATTAATTGCCAATACAATAATATCAAAGAATGTATATCTCCTTTTCTCATTTGCCTTCAGTTATATTAACTTATGAGTTACTTTAATAAACGAAGACCAAAACAATAATTTATCTCCATATCCCATATTACATTATTTTTATTACCTTTTATTCTCTTTATTTTTAATTTTGTTTTCGTATAAACATACTTTATTTGTAGTATAATATAATAGATTTAAAATATATAGAATTCAATCAATTGGTTTTCAGTCATTTTTACTCAAACGCAAAATTCATTGTTTGAAATATTTTATTTATAGAAACCTACTTGATATTGTTTACATTTTCTATTGTTAATTAATAATGTATATTTTATTTGAAAATATAATGAAAACAGATTTTATAAATTTTATAATAAACTAAAATATTGAAATTCTACACTAATATTTGATATGTTCAACAATTTATAACCATGATAATTTTTTTTTTTGTTTTTATTGATTATAAATATAACAATCTTTGTCGTTAAATAATAATTTAAGTCTAAGAGTTAATCAAGAAAAATATCTCAAAGCAATATAATACTTGAGAATAATAATAACGATTATTAACAATAAAATACTATGCTATATATATATAAACATACCTAACACAATAATGAATATGGTTAGTATATTGGTTTTTTTATATATTTAATTTTTAAGTTATGATGAATCAACGTTTTAAATAATCTATGACCCACTATATTATTAAATTAGTATTTATTGAATTATAAACAACTCAATGTATCAACGACGATGTGTATTGTATTGTGTATGGTCTTCACGTAAAATTTCAAATTAAATAAAAATCTTTTAAAATGTAAGGAAAACCGTCGAGCGCTATACAAACCATTATAATTCGTAAGTCATAAAACAACACTTATTAAAAATATACCCACATAATAATATATTATTATTAGCATAAATATGACTAATATTAATTGAGTTTTAAATAACCACGGGCAGAATAATTTTCGTGGTGTTTCATAAATGTATATTTTATTATTGTAAAACGGTGGCCGGCAGGGTCAAAGAAGCGCGTCATGACAAGGTGAACGAAAGAAGAAAAAAAAATGAATAGAGAAGGAGAGTGATAGTTGATGTTACTAAACGAATTACAAAAAGTGAATGTTTTGCCCGCGTCCAAGTTGTCCGTTTCCCAGGTGTATAAGAAGCGTGGTCAGCTTTAGCTCATCATCAGTTAGTCGTTCTACCGTGAGTGAACAACAACAACTTGTAATATTCTAGTAGTGAATTTTTGTTTAGTTTGTGATCAAATAATATCCAACATGATGAAAACACGCTTCGTGGTGAGTAAAAATTGCCAAGTCCAATACTTGGAGTTTTCGGCTATAATAAATCTACTGTTAACACTTAAATATTTCTTTTATTTTTACCGCAGAAAACGTAATACGCTATATTATGTTCTGTCAGCGGATAATCTAAAAACATTCGACTAAGTTCTCTCTTATTTTTCGATCTCGTATTCTCTGGAATAAGAGACTTAAAAATTTTTTTGAACACCACACACAGCTCTAGTTTAATAACATGTTCGTCGGCAAGAACTTGTTCGAGTAGATTATTTTTGCTACTCGTTCTATAGTAATTTTTAGAAAACGCACAGTATTTTCTAATGGGTTTTACTCTTGTTTTACAGGTGTTGGCATCGCTTGCGACTTTAGCACTTGCGAGACCCGAAGCTGGGTACTCTTATAGCTCCCCATCCTCGTCCAGTGGCGGCTACTCGTCCGGTGGAAGCACAGGATTGAGCTTCGGCGGTGGTGGCTACGCCAGCGGCAGCTCCGGCTATGCTAGCGGCAGCTCTGGCTACGCCAGCGGAGGTGGTTCCGGATACTCCATCGGAGGTGGTTCCGGATTCTCCAGCGGAGGTGGTTCTGGATACTCCAGCGGAGGTGGTTCCGGATTTTCCGGCTACAACTACGCCCCGGTCGCCCCAGTCGTGCAGAAGCACATCTACGTGCACGTGCCACCACCAGAGCAAGAGTACGTCGCTCCCCCACAGATCCAGCCGGTTGCCCCACCCCAGAAGCACTACAAGATCATCTTCATCAAGGCTCCTACCCCACCGACCCCGACCGCCCCGATCATCCCACAACAACCACAAGACTCCGAAAAGACTTTGATCTACGTGTTGGTCAAGAGGCCAGAGGAACAACCACAGATCACCATCCCGGCCCCGGCCCCGACCACGCCGTCCAAACCTGAGGTGTACTTCATCAAGTACAAGACCCAGAAGGAAGGTGGATTCTCGGGCAGCTCGGGCTCCAGCTTCGGTGCCGGTGGCGGAAGCGGCGCTGGTGGCTTCGGCGCCGGTGGCGGAAGCGGCGCGGGTGGCTTTAGCGACTCGCTCTCGTCCAGCGGACCTGGCTCCAGCTTTTCCGGCCCATCGTCCACATACGGCTCGCCCAGCGCCAGCCCGTCCGCCAGCTACGGTGCTCCGAGCTCTAGCGGTTCTTACTAACGCGCTTCATCCGAACGGCAAATAACGACGAAAGCAACAACAGCGAATATTAAATAAAATGTCCTCTTGTACGCGCACACACTTCGACACGACCGCGGGAAATCGTTGATTGTTATACTTCTCCGCGGTCACGGAACGCGATTCGAGAGAAGCGTCACCGTCCACCATCAACGCTGCTCCCCCATAACCCCCATCATGCCCATCCCAAACGCTGCTCGCCCCTAATCGATTTGTAACATATATTATAAATTCATGTAGACTATGTATTTTTTATACTTTTTGTTTTTTTTTATTTTATTATACGTTTGTTTCTAACGAAATTCATTTATTTTTTTATTTTTATTTTATTATTAAATGTTAGTCCCTCGAGATCAATTTTTAAAACGCGTGTTCATTTCGCCGCTGTTACACTTGCAAATCGGATAAATATCTAAAAAGAACTAAACGTCATGATTTATACATGTATATACCATACACACATAATTATATGAACAAAAATGCGAAATATACAGTTCAATTTTTTATAGAAAAATATCTATTTTTTGTTTATCTTTTCATTGTGTTTGTTCGACGACGACGATTTGTAAAACAACATCTTGTTCGTTGTGCGCGGTGGCAACACGTTCCGGTAGGTCGAACCGCGGCGCGACAATCAACTAATCGTGTGTGATTGGCTAAAAAATTGTTTTCAGATGGTCCGCGGGACGGGACCTTCGGACGTCGCTGTTACCGCGCGCGATTTGCGTAGTTATTATTTCGTCCGGTGTCGATCTCGCGATGCGATAACCGCCGCGGTAACATTTACGGGATCGGTATAGTGGAGTCTTCCGGCGCACTTTCGCCTTCCACCAATGAATCGAACACGTAACCGAGCTAGTTGCTCTGCGATGGCGGCGATTTTCAGACACGGCTTGCGTAACGGCTCCAATATTAAAGTCATTGTAATAATAATAACGATATCGTTGTGTACACGTTATACGATTGTAATCACGTGGTAATAAAAACAGTGATAATAACGATCATCTTTTATACGTCGTCGTTATGATAACAGTAACGCTAATAATAATAATAATAACGTAACCGTCGGCGTCTCTTGCGATCGAAATAAAAATGAAATTATACGACGAAAAACGAAGACAATAATGTTACTGAAAAAAAAAAAAAAACGGAAAAAAATAAACAACACGGGAATGGAATTGCGGAGAACGACTCGAAAATAGCGATTTCATCGGAGCCGCCGTGCACACTTTCGCTCATCACGACCTCCGCGTCGCGCGCACGCACCTTTCTCTGCGCGCGCGAACGATCACCGACATGCGGTGTTGTGCACCCAGTGTCGGCCGAGATGACCCCGACCGGTGACCCGTGCGACTACGTGTGGGCGCGCGTCCTAGTGAAAACGCCGCACACGACCGCCTCGTAATTGTATAAATAACGGCTAGTGAGATGGGTGGGCAAATCGTGCGGGTGCGTACGCCATCCCGGCGCATCACGCCAATCACCTTCGGCGACCGATGGAAACCGACGGGAAAAAATCGTTTTCGAACCGCTCAACGGTCGCTTCCGACCGCTACTCGCCCTCTGGTAATCAACGCGAATACCACCGTTGTCGATGCACGGGTCTCGTGTTGCCCCGGCGGTTTTGTTCGCAGGTGATATAATAAAATGATATACAAACCGTTTCTATTCGGTGTGCAGTGATAAAACGCTCTGTTACATCGTAATCGTCCGCGACGGTGTAAACCAATTTTTTTTTTTTTTTTTAACGAAAAATATGAAAAAAAAACGAAATTAAAATCGAGTCCGAGAAACGTCGATTCGGGTGAACATCTCCACAACTCGTTTCGGGTCGGCAGGTGAACGTAGATTGTATCTATTGGAAAAATTAAAAACAACACGAAACGAAATATGTACAGTGTAAAACAGTATTTCGGATAATGTGGATTATGAAATTATCCGAAATACTGTTTTACGCTGTACATATTTCGTGGATTTTGAAATGACGTTTCACTACTCGTTTACGATAGAATTCGTACAACTTTTTTCCTGACTAAATTACGTGTGCACCGCAAATGTTATTAAGAGTTTACCGGGTGGACTGGCCGTCGAAGTAGAAATTTTGACATTTTTTAACCCTGTTTTAGTGTACACCATAAGTGTTACTGTCTAATTCACTCGCTGTGAATGATTCACAAAAAGCGTGAAAGCTGCCAACCCAATGCACTTGCACCAGCGCGGTTTATAACTATAGTGGAGTTTCATATACATCGGTTGAAATGGCTTAGAAAAAGCGGAAAGGAAGTAAGTATTAAGATTTCACGAATACTCGTTATCTTCTCTTTAAATATATATATATATATATTTAATTTATGTAAGAACATTTTGTTTAAGAGATGGAATCTATCTTACTACGTTCATATAGCCGTTGTTATGAAAACCAAAGTACATGTAATAAATCATGACTCAAAGTTACAGATTTTCGAAAGAATGACTAATGTGAAGTAAAAAATAAATAGCACTTTTTGCATCTCTTGACTATGTGCTCCTTGTACTTCGACTGTTCCTTATAGAATCATAATTTCATCTACCATCGAGAGTTGATCGTCACAAAACTATTGAATAAACACTGAAAATAGCGATACAAATAGTATTATAAATGTCAGTCACGACGAAGACGATGAGCACCGAAATCGCATACATAATTATACAATTTTTCGATCTTCGGTGTGTTTTATTATTATTATTATTATTCTGCCACTATTTCGGATGAGATCTGTATAATATAACGGGTGTGTTACATCTACCGTCGCATTAACATATTATTATCGACTATACGGCATACATGTATAATAACACACGGTGGTGGTTTAAAATCGCACCGTATCCGTGTTGTGCGTTGTATTACAGTTTGCAAACGCTTTCCGGAAAATAGATTTATTTTATGACCTAGATATTAATACGTGGCGAGTATTACTATCGCCCGTAAGAGTTCAAAAATTGCGTATTCTTATCTAAGGCGCTCGCGGTGGCGTCACTCTGGTGAAATAATGTATTATATTATAAGGTTAGTCGTTTCCGTTCCTGAAATAATAATAATAATAATAATAATACAAAAAAAAAACATTTCGGAGATGAACATAATTAATTGGATAAACTTTTCAATAAACTGCACAAACGAAAAAGCAATAGTCAATCGATTTAAGAAAAATAATAGCCGTCAGCGTTAGTCCGTAGGCTGAAGTCTACGTTTTTGTTTTGCTATATTTTATTTCCCGTCATTATTAATGTTTATCATAGATGTTGAATTTTTATATTCGGTCAAAAGACGTATTATTTTCCCTTCAGAAAAAAAAGGTTGATAATGCCCATTACAAATTTCATATTTTTTTACAGGTTAAAATGAGAGTTCATCACCACGAATCAAATGTGTAATATCGTCCGTGAACAATTATACGAACGGGCGTCAGATCAAGTTAATTTTTTGTCCCCCGGTGATATGCTGAAAACGTTATTTATCGTTAAGAAACGCACAGCATTCGGTGGACAAAGTGTGCGTTTAGTAACACTGCAGAAGTAACCCTTAACGACTGAGGCGGTAGTACTCTGTATGATAAGAATCTATCTGAATAGACTCGTCGAAGCAAATATTTTTCTCTTCTCGCGAGTTTTCTAGTAATTTAAAATGTTATCCTCTGCTGCGGCCCATCTTATGTAATAGGTTATCTCGTTATGAATCGCTGAACCACTGGAGAATAAAATATAATACGAACACGAGTGCGCACTATAAGGTCAGTGACATCGATACCGATGACCAAATGACAGGAACACGATAAAGTTTTTAAACATTTTTTTTTCTTTTATACATATGTAGATATGTATCCACCCATATTATGCATTCGGTACGTGCACCAATCGAACTTATATCGATGCAGCGATATCCAGTGAATTTATCGACTGACATTCACTTTGCACAAGAAAACGTTGAAAATGATTAAAACTCTCAGCCACGGTAATTGCTAAGCGTTACATTTTTGATTATTTCATTTTTTTATTTTTTTATTTCGGTCGCTTGGAGCGTGGTTGCATAATATAACATTACATATTATTACGTTGGATGTTTGTTAGACCATACATCAGACATTTATTATGTTAATAGTATACTCAGGATTAGTTTAAATCGAAAATATACGTACACAATCGATATAAATATTTGCGCACGAGAAAAATATATTAAAACATTGATTAATCTCGTTTAACAATAACATTATAATGTTCATAAATAGAATATTATAATGACTTTTTTTAAAAAGAAACATGAACACAGTGAAACCAGTTTTACGTGGACAATAATAATTCAACCTGTATCACATGCAAATCAATAGCGCCATCACAAATTAATCTTAATTTCCTGAACAATAAAAATGAATAAGTTATTTTAAAAGTATTTCCAAGTGATGAAATAATTAAATTCAAATTTCGTGATAACTAAGTGTAGTGTGTGATTGTTTTGCATTAAATGAGTGTTCAACAGAAACGTGAATATCGAATTTAAAACACTATTATCGTTAAAAGGATGTTTTAGAAAAAAAACATTAAAATATCAAAATGATCAAAATTTAAATGTGTATTGGAAACCTCTATTTTAATTTTATGTTAACTAATGAATTATTAATTATTCGGGTTCATAACTACAATAGAAATAATTGATATTGTTTCCGGCATTAACAAATTAGGATATGAAACCACTGTGGTAGAAATATATAAGCGTCGATTAGTTTTCATTTCCAGAATGTATATAAATATCAATAAATAAACAGATAAATCCAAGTACATGATTTCGGTAACCAACTTTCAACAACAAATGTAACTGTTGTGAAATTGCGTAATACAATATTGATGGTTGGCGGACGATTGCTGTTCAGTCTAGGGTTGCAATAGTAATTAATTGGAGTGTAAACATTTTATATTTACAATACTAAAATGCACGATGATAGTTTAAATAAGAACAATAGCTATTTTATGTTCTTCAGCAAAAGGTTTTATGTATAACTCAAAAGAGTTTTTATACACTGGGGTGGTTTGAACATAAAACGAATTCTTATTGTTGAGTTGTGCAATAAATATCATCATGAATATTCATAATATTATACATATATTTCATAAAATTATTATAATTCTTCTTCTTAAGCTTATAGCGGTCCATTCAGGACCATTTTCGCATCTAAAATGCCTATCCAACTCTCTCTATTCGATGCCGTTTCCAAATCCACCAA